GGAGTCTGATATAATCTCCTCATCACATGGTCAGATATTGACTTTGTGTTGCTCGTTATGAAGGATGTGGAGGGAGTATGATATATTCTCTCTCATCATGTGGTCAGATATTTGCCACATGTTGCTTGCAGTGGAATATTTTATGAATTGCGTGGATTTTGATAATTGAATTAATTTTGAATAATAAACCGGTAGACGATGTGTCAATTGATTACTCGAAGATGGACATCCTATTATTTATAGAATGCTTGAATTAATTTAATTGTAAAAAAAGTTTGATTTATGTATGAAGACAAATAATATAAATTAAAATAATCTAATAAATAGTAGAAGACTAATAAGTTGGAGAAATTAACTAAAGATTTTTTTTTTATTTATATTTTATGAGAATGAACATGATCTAGATTTATAAAAATAATGATATTAAAAATCAAACTTAAACCATGTATCCTTAAAAAAGCTCATAGAAAACGTCAGTAATCACCACTCCTATTGTTATTGTATTTTTTATACTAATTAGTTACCTAAATCACCACCCCCTAAATACTAATTAGTTTCCTAAATAAAGGGTTCTTCTTCACGTATTCATACACCACAAATATTTGAAATACCTTTGTCTCATTCTTCTCTCTCTCTCTCTCTCTATATATATATATATATATATATATATATATATATATATATATATATATATATATATATATATATATATATATATATATATATATATATATATATATATATATATATATATATATATATATATATATATATCAAAAATAAATAACAAAACCAAACTAAAAACAACTATAGCTACACAAGACGATTATAATCATTATCTTTGTAGTTTATTTATTTATTATTATTTAAAACTTTCATCAATTAAGTCGTGACAAGTGGATATGAATAAAATTATTAAAAAAAAACAAATTATCATAACACCATAACAAACGAGAGAGAGAAAGAGACACAAATATTACATCCATGTTATCTTCTTCAACACTCGCAATTTCTCTTTCTACTATATCTCTTTTTGTACCATTCATAACCAATAATGATATTCACACACAGTAAAACACAATAATAAAATCAAAGCATAAATCTAAACAATAAGATAATGGATAAAAATGTCAGATTCATAGAGTTGCAGTCCACACGGAAGATATGACAGATCTGCGACGGCTTATAGTGGATCTCGACGGTGACTTGTAGTTGTTGTCTCGTACGGTTTCGGCGGTGATGGTGATGGTCGTTGGGCTGCGATTTTCGGTCTTGGATCATTGTTGTTTAGGATTATGAATCATTGTGGTGATTGTAAATCACCAGCGTTACAAGCCCTTATTGCTCCGATTCTTTCCTCCACCTTAAATCTCTTTTTATAACATGCCATACCCAAATTTTTGACCTAAGATCCCACCTTCGTTTGCATTTTTATAAAGCGTCAAGGTCATGAGATACAGTTGATTTTTAACCCGCTCACCTTCGAGCATTTCTTATGCAGAGATTATCAATTGTTGTGAACATCTTACTTTATGCATCACTAACTTCTAAGCCCATACAAAGGTGTATGTTTGTGTTTCTTTGGTTTCATGTGCAGAGACAGGTCTAAATCAAAAGCGTCAGGTGTTATGCCTTAATCAGGGTTTTTCTCTCTCAAGTGTTCAAGTATGGTAAATCACCAATTCTCAAAGACTACTTCATCAAAGTTTAGCCTTTAACCAAAAGAACAGTCAAGATTTCATCATCATTGGCCCACATGTGCATTAATATGTCTGGGAATGCGAGGAAAGAACAAATTTGCAAGTCTATTCAAAACACTTTGACCAAAACTCAACATTTTCAAGATCAAGTTCAAACGATTATAACTTCTTCATTATTCAATATTTTTAGTGGTTCTTTTTGCGTATAACTCTCCTTGTGCGGAGGATCATCAGAGTTTGAATACTTTAGAGGTCACTTTGTGATTTTTTGATTTAATCTCAAGTAAATGTCACCCGACTTTCAAGGATCATAACTTCTTTGATTCTCAATATTTTGAGGCAATTCTTTTTGCACATTGTCATAAGTGAAGTCATCTACAAGTTTTCTTCAAAGATCAAAGTCAAACCGAGCTTAAAAGGCCATAATATTTATTGAAATATTATAGGTCATTTTTAGATTTAGAATGTTCCTAATTCATGCCTTAATTATTTTCTCAAAGGTGTTGATTCTTATGTTGAAACTGCCAATGACCTAAGATGTTGAGTTTGGAATTCTTTGATTGATTGTCGCTCATTTCAAGTCACTTAAGTTTGAACATAGGTGATTATTGGATTAAAGTTGGATTTTTTACCAAAGTTCGCAAGGCATTATTATTCTTTTAAGCACTACGGGCTTGTATTGCGAGTAACCATGAATTGAAGATTTGCCCACTAAATGTCATTAAATTCAAATTAATTCAAAGTTTCAAAGACATTCATTGTTATTATAGCTTCAAGATACAAGTATCAAAATTCACCATTCATTACAAAATCAAAGAGAATGCTTGGAATTTCAAAGTGCAAAAAGGAAAAATCCTTGTTTCATCAACATTTTCAAGCTCATTACAAGATTCAAATACAAAGTGTTACATGAAATTCCTAAGTTTCTAAAGTCCAAGCCAAAATCCAATTTCTTGTTATCTTCATGCTACAATTATTCTTTACGCCCTTATGTCTTGGAATCTCACTCCACACTCAATTTGCATCCAACTTTTGCCTTGTACCAAAGCTGCCAAATTTCCAGCCTCTGCATAAATGCAAAAAACAGTCAAATTGTGACCTTTCCTTGTCCATAATCCTTGCAGGAATAAAACAAACATAACACTCCAAAAAAATCCCACAATGCTTCCCTTCCAAACCTGCATAAAACAATCAAACATAACAGTCCAAAACAAATCCAAAATTATTGATGTCCAGTCTGCTACTATTGTCCCAAAGTTTGCACAAAACCAGCCAGAAATTGTATCAAAATAGTCAAAACAAAAACTGTATTAAAAAGTTCCAAAGTCAGCATACCAAATATGTTCAAATATTATTCATCCCCCCCTCAAACCTCATCTACTCCTCTATAAAAGGACGAAGTTTGTTCAACACGAGGAGGATACAAAAATCGAAATACACAAGAGAATCCTAGGAGACACTCATAGGAATATCATAGAGAAAAACACTATCAAACTTCTGTTTAATACACACAAAAAACTTCTGCTGACTTCTCTTGGTAAGCTTCAAATCACCCTCCATTTCACTCAATAAACTCAGTAGCATTCATTCATAAACATCTGCTCCCTACTACCTTTCATCACACTAATACACCAACGATAACACTCCTAAGAACTCTGTCTAAATTCCTCTGTAAACTTGCATAAATCGGAACCGAAAAAACCTTCAACTCACTCAACTCATTCTAATAACAACCTTTACAATATCCGAGACCTGTAACCATTCCATACTTCATTCAAAACCTACAATCAGAACTCAAAACACTCAACACTGACGGTCCCGTAATAGAACAACTACAACACAACAACATTCCAACTAGAAATTCACAAAATAAGAAAATAAACAAGAAGAAATGGGTAGAAAAATTCTTCACAACATTCAGTCATAATCTTCCTCCAAATTGAATCTTCTTCCCAGCTTCCATCAATCTGCAAAAGCTTTCATCATAATGGCTAGGGATGTTCGTGGTCCGGTTTGGATCGGTTTTGAGACAAAATATCATCCGATCCAAAAATATATAAAGCATACGGTTTGGTTCGGTTTTTGGATGACAACAAGAAAAATCCAATCCAATCCAATCCAATTTATACGGTTTACTTCGGTTCGGTTGAATCAGTTTTATTCAGTTTTTAAACCAACACTATTTAGAAATTTAAAAAGAATATATTTCAATACCAATTACAATTATGCCACCAACGTCTACTGAGACAATATCTAATTACTATGTTCATATGGCTATTTGATGTCATTATTGCAAAGTTTCATTATAATATATGTATAATATCTATCCCAACGAAATAGACATGGCTATAATATATAATATATATGGAGATATGCTTAGTTCTTATATGGAGATTTGTATTATAAATTAAATATATGACAAATATATAAAACAGTGAACAAATGAAGATTCCAAAGCTGTATTAAAGCGAATATAATAATAAAACTTCAAGTAAATGGAAGTAATACCGGTTCCGTTTGTACCGGTTCGGTTCTCATGAAGCCAACCGTAAACCGAACCGAACCGGTCGGTTATGCTACATGGTGATCCAAATACATCCAAAAAAAATCGGTTTTTTTTTGGATTTCGGTTTTTTCGGTTCGGTTTTTGGATTTTTTTTGGATCGGATTGGATCTGAACACCCCTAATAATGGCTGGCTATCTTCACAACGGATTCTTCTCGCATCAATAACAACAAAAACCTCATCATCATCATCATCATCATCGATTCATCATCGGTTCAACATCTTCAGTCTCCATCAACATCATACTAATAAATTTACAACATAAAATCATACAAAAGTAGAAGGAGCAGAAGTGCGAACTGGTTAGAAGAAGCGAAAGATTAACGTGCATACTCGATCCTCTTGCTTTTATATTAGCAGTTGAAAACGCATCGGAGCGACTCCGATCAAGTAAGCTTCAAACGCACAATTCTATTAATATTTGAACTTGTTTATTTCTATCTTGCTATGTGTTTTAAACTCTTTTAATATACTTGTGTTTAAAATCGTGAACCTGCTTGTGTTTAAACTCTTTGAATTCGCTTGTGTTTAAAACCGTGAATCTGCTTGTGTTTAAACTCTTTGAATCTGCTTGTGTTATTTGCTTGAATCCGCTTGCGTCGAAATTAAAATGAAATTGCAGTACAGTGAGCAAGTTTGAGTTGCGATGATGAGCTAAGACGGAGACATAGCATAAAAGGCGGAGGGAGTATACCGAGAGAGCATTAGAAGATTAATCTAAGAGAGGGGGGCGGTTTAAGAACAATTATTGTTTGACTGAGGATAAAGAGAATTAGAAGAAGAGTTTATATTGTTATGAAACCGAAACAGAGATTTCAAAAGTGAAAACCATTGGAAATAAAGGCAATATTTTTTTTCGTTTCGGATAAGGAAAAGATAAGGAGAAAATGCGTGAGCAATATTTTGTTTGTTCGATTCTAGCGAGAGAAAACTAGAGGAAAGTTGAAATATAGCGTGAGAGAGGCAGGGGAACAACTGTATATTCTTCTTTAGGGTTTTTAGATTTGTAGTTATAACCTCTATTGGGCTTAACCCGAAATTTAACACTAGGCCTACTGGTGATTTAGTTGGCTCACCCCTTCCTTTTTTCATTTTGTTTATTTTAGCTGGACAACAATATCACTTTGGGCTCCGTCCATACCTCTTTTTAAGCCCAGTAGCGAACTGCTATCTTCCACCTCCTATTTTCTATTTACACCTTTTATTTTTGTTTTTAATAATTTTCTTAGTTTTTTTAGTTTAGATTTTTAAATTCAATTAATAATAATATAGTTTTTTTTTTTAAATTAGATAATTTTCTTAATTAGTTTAGTTTTAAATTTAGTTTAGGAGCTTTCCGAATAACTGACTTTGTTAACTAACATTTTTAGTTAGATAACTTTTAGGTAAATTGTTTAGTTTCTTTCTTTTCAAATATTTGATTTAAATTGTTGACTTTGTTATTTTTAACTAATCGATTAAATGTTTATTTTTTATTTCTTTGATTGATTGCTTGTGTGATTAGTGATTACCATGTACCCTTAGGATTATTAATTTAATTTTAATATTTTGGTTAAGTTGAATTAATTAGACCTTAGGATTTAATCCAAGATGATAATTTAGGATATAATTTTCTCCCTTCCTCCTAACTTTAGGTATATTGTACATGATAACATTAGGGCTCTAGTCTCCCTTAGACTTTTTCATTCCCCTTTTGCATCTTGAAAACTAAAACTTCTTTTCTTCTCAAACTTCTCAAAAACACTTAACAATAATGATGCGAACCATATTTCATGAACCTTAAGAAGTGGAGAAGGATGAGTGGATCCATTCCCGAAGCTTCTCCATCATTTCATTCATAGTATTTGGGATGAAGTCGCACGATTAAGAAACAAAAAGTAACAGATAAGAGATATGAGGGACTGATACATGATAAAGAGAAGAGTTATGTTTGGATTTTGCGTGAGAGTCAATGAAACAGAGAAAGTTTAGAGATTGAGAAAGGATGATGACGAACACGATGAACATCAGAGCAAAGAAATTGGTGAGAGTGAAACGAGGTCAATGAAAAGAGGAATAGATGGTCTGTTTCAATTGATGAAGAGATAAAACTGTGAGAATCTGGAAGCGGAGAAAGGAGGGCCACACTTTTTTTAGCGATTACGTTATACTTCTCTTAATGGATTTTTTTTAAATAGTAAAAAATAAATGTGACTTTCCCCTTCCTAATAGAGCCAACGATGCCTTCCATCTTGCAACAAGGGTTTCCTAAAACCCTTTCTTTACCTTACCCGAACCGGGTCGGCCCATTGGGGCCTGTTAACCAAATCATATTCCATCATCGCCCTATTATTTTACTGAAGCATATATATAAACAATAAAAAATGCAGCTCAATGGCTAGGTAGTTAGGGTGTTACCAAAGGGGTGCGAGTTCGATCCATGGTTCTTGATTTTAGTTTTAAGTCTTTCTCTTTATTTTTTAGCCTTATCTCACAAATTTCATAAAATATAATAGTAATAATGATACAAAAAATATTAGTTTAGATTTCTAATTTCTTATTCCTATATAAAATATCAAAAATATATATTAGTATAATTTTGTCTTTCGTTATTTTAATTAATTTTTGGTTGTTAATTATTTAGTTATTTAATTGCTATTTTATTAATTTCTTTTTTGATTATTTAGTCTCTATATTTTTGTTTGCGCCTAAATCCAAGGAAAAGACCGTCTGATTGACCTCGTGTCATTGTGTGTCTTTATTTTTCTATTCTATCTATTTCCTTTTAGTTAAAACCTAAAAAACTCAACTTTCAAACTTACACTCATTTAAGCCAAAACTCCGACACTAGGTCGTCGCATCTTCAAGATCTCATCCCCACACTCATTTAGCAAGCAAACCAATTTTAACCAAAAACAGATATTTCAAAAGGTTCCTATAGGATACTATAGATACATAGGGTGCTAGTACCTTCCCTTTGTATAACCAACCCCGAGCCTTCGATCTCTTTCAAATGCATTATATTTTTCTTTACTTTTAGTATTGCACTTACTTTGCATATTTATGGGTTTTATTTCGCACTTTTCCCTTTTCCCTTGGAAATAATAAAGCGTGGTGGTGACTCTTGTTTTGTGAGTTAAGTTAATTAAATAGCCTGATCTTTGATTTTCACTGCTACAAAATTGGCGACTCTGATGGGGACTTCCAAAAAATACTCTAAGTGGGTTAAACCTAATTTGTTATATTTGTTATTGTTATTATTGTTTGTGTGCTTATATGTGTTATTTTCTGGTTTCTTTGGGTGTTGATTACAAAGGACAAGTCCCATACCCAGACTAAGGTACACTTAAGATATGACAGGTGGTATAATCATGTTAACTTTGAGGGAGTAATCCTGAAAAAGAAAACATGAAATCACCCACTCAGTGGAGGCCCCTTTGATTGTAGTATTTGTTTATCGAGTAATCGGGAAGACATTGTTGTTTTCGACCTAGGAGCCAGAGAAGCTGAGAGCCGTAGAACCCTTAACACATCTTGGCCATTTTAGATGTAGTGCGTAGACTATGGCAGAGTAATCCAGAAGTAGTTGTCATACGATGCTTCACTTAGACGAGGTTTTTCTGCGAACATTACTAATTACCGAGTAATTGGGACATTGGTAATATTTGAAGGAAAGATGTAGACTCTGGGAATCTTTTAGGACCTTGTTCGGCAGGTGATAAACTATTAGTCCTTACCTTTTGGGTAGTACCTTTGACTTCATGCCCGTGACGTTGAACCTATGAACTCCCCCATGTTTGTGATCTTGTGTGTGATTGTTGCATCATGCATTCATGCACCCATGAGCATTGTTTTAACCAAATTTTCAAGGAACTTAAGACTTCTGCTTGCAAACATCATAAGTTTTGTAATTATGGGTTTTGAAAAGAGTACTCAGAAGTACAATGTCAAGAGTCCTGATTCAGAAGAATTGGGAAAGCCTGAATCTTTGGTATCTAGTCCTTGGGATTTCAAATTCTCATAGTTGTCTTGAAGATGGATTTCTCCACGCTCTTGATATAGTTCCTCAATTCTTGGTATCAATGATTTATTTTCCCAATTATCAACAAAATAGAAGAGAAGAGTGCATAGGATTTATTTTCCTTTAGCATTCTAAATTCAAGCTCAAGAAGATGTTACAACACGATGTTGGATCTTCTTCAGATGAAGTTCATTTGGACCTGAGGATTTAGCTTTCTCTTTCTTCTGTATGGAATTAGTGAAGTTTTGTACTTCAAATGTAACCCTTCCAATATTAATGAAATGGTTTTTTCAGTTGTCCCAATTATGTCTTTTAATTGATGTTTGCAATTCATTTATGATGTTCCAAAGTTCTTTGAAAACTTGGTTTTAAAACTTTTAAATAATCATTTGCATTTCATAACATGCATCATTCTCACTTCTGTCTTGATTTCAAGAGTTTCCTAGAGTCTTATTGTGATACGGTGGGAGAACTGACTTGGATTTTGCATTTGTGTTCGCACTTGTTCGGTTTAGCAAGAGTCACCACCGACTTTTTATTTTATCCTAAGGAAAGGTCAAAAAGCACAGGAAAGACCTTTGAGATGTTTTGGTAGGTTCGGGGGGTAGATTATGAAAAGGGAAGGTGCTAGCACCCTTTTCATCCATGGTTATCCATGGGCTCTTAGTTACTTGTTTTAGATCACTTGCCTTTGTTTTTTCAATTGCTTGAAATGGTGTTTTGTGTGTGTGGTTTTTGAAAATGTTTTGAAAAAGATGCCTTGTCTAGGAAACCTTTGTAACAATTTGTTTGAATGTTTTACAAAGGTGTTTGTCTTTTTGAAAAGATGTTTCAATGTTTTTGAAAGTTGTTTTGAAGTTGTGTTGTGATGTGTGTTTGAAAAATGGCAAGGATGTTTTGCAAGTTTGATCAAGTAACTAAGAGCTATCTACCCTATTTTACTCAAAGATTTTTCTTATGTTTTTAACCCTTTTAATAGTGTTGTTTCACCATTGTATTTGGTGAACAACCTTGCGTTAGAATGTTGAATGGGACGGGCGCGGGACGTTTATATAGTCATCGAAGGCAACATATGGGATGTTTTAGCAATGTCATTTTAGGGACTAGATCGTTTACCGAAGGCAACATCGAGGGTCATCGAGGGACTACGATCTTTTATCGAGGGTCTTTGCTAAAACTCCCATGCTCGAGGGACATGACTATTTTCCAAGGCAACAAGTGAGATTACCCTAAGGGTGCATGTGTGCAAAGTGTGTTTTATTGCATGCATTTGTCTTTGATTTTTAGGTTGTCTACTTGTTGGTTTTATCTTGTCATACACACCTAGTTACTAGCATTTGTACAAAAGTAATAAAAAGTGCAAAAAATAAATCCTACACTATTACAACCATATTGAAGTGCATAGAAATGTAAAGGAAAAAATAAGATAAAAAGAAGTAAAAAATGAGTGTCTTTCGACCCAGGCAGTAGCATCCTTCGATTTGCATTCTGTTGGCCTCCTTCGATTGGGGCTGGCAACAGCAAAGTCACGTCTTTCGATTGGGCCTTGGCAGGGGCGAGGTCCTGTCCTTCGATTGGGCAAAGACAACAACAAGTTGTATCCTTCGACTGGGGCCTGGAAGTCAGTGAGGGAATGCCTTTCGATTAGGGGCTGGAAGTCAGTGAGGGAATGCCTTTCGATTAGGGGCTGGAAGTCAGTGAAGGCATGCTTTTCGTTTGGGCCTAGAAGTAAACATGGTTTTCCTCCTGGTTGTCTCTTTCGTTTGACCTGGAGAAAGAGGGTAGAAGCCAGAAGCTTCGTTCCCTATTTCCTGTTTCCTGTTTCTTTCATTTCAAGCATTAAATGACAACATGGCCTGAGGCCATGCTAGTATTTATCTTTCAAACAGTTTAATAACTAAAGCTAGTTCAGGCAAACAGCAAGCAAAAACAAAAGGGTTTAGCTCTGAAAACATGTTAAAAGAGTGGAAACGAAAAGAACAGTGGTATGTACATGTTTCAAACGAACGTAAAGATTATTTACATGTTATGTCATGAAACAAAAAGTTCAAAG